AAATGTTTGCTGAGCCTGTCTGATAGGTGAAGCATTTACGAACAGGATGATGCCTTTGTCTTTTACTTAAAAGCGATAGTCAATGAAGTAAGCAAACACATGGGTTCGAATGCATAGCATTATAGATGAGTATGGTGGCACACGCTTTTAATCCCAGCACTCTGGTGCCGGGGCCAGAGATCTCTGCATTTGAGTGCAAACTGGTGTACATAGCGAATTCCAGGCCAGCCAGGACTCCATAGCAAGACTTTATCTGAAAATGAAAGATTGAACTTTTGCTAAATCTATATTCATTTGGCAAGTTGTGGTATCATTTGAACTTTATCTGTAACGAGTATGTCATTGAAAATATTGTACAGGGGCTGGAGAGATCTCTTCCAGAGGACGCTAATTCAGTTCCCAGCACCCACAATGAAGGCTCACAAATTCCTGTAATTCCTGTAATTCCTGTAATTCCATGGTATCTGATCTCCTCTTCTAGCCTCGAGGGGCACCTGCATTCATATGCATGCAAGCAAGCAAACGCACACACACACACACACACACACACACACACACACACACATGAATGCACACACACACACGAATGTGTGTGCACACAGGCACCATTAAAAAGGTGAATAAAAATGTGCCTGCCACTCTTCTTCATTAGCCAATAACAATGAGAAGACTTTTGAGGGAGCACCCCAAAGACAGCCAGCCACCCTTGTAACCCTTCCTTCCTTGAAGTGTGCTTCACAGAGCAGCGGGACCATCATCAGTCAGGACCCAGTGGATTCTCCTGGGCAATATAGCAGGACTTGCTGAGTAGATGGGGCTATGGACCAAGCTCTCCAGAAGATCCTTCTATATCCTCTAGCATCACACTTGTGTTGATGACTCACAACATGCTCTTATGACTTTTAAAGACAATCCCCAAAGTTGGAACACAGAAGAGAAAGTTTCTTGTTTTGTTTTTTGTTTGTTTCAGCCCAGGCTGATATTGAGCTATCAACCTGAAACTGCCCAGGAACTCCTGGTCTTCATTGCATTTCCCTCCCAAGACCTGGATTTACAGACATGTATCTCCCAACCCAGATGGGAAACTCTTGAGACCTCTTGACCAGCTTAAAGATTCCTCTTACCAGCCCACAAAGGGCCTTTCAAACAAGGAAGCTTAACTGCAGCATAACTTGAGACAAAAACGTTGAGACACTTAACAGGGTTGGAGAGATAACAGCCAACGGGTTGACACACCTCTGAGTTTGGACTCCATTCATCAATCAGTGAGACCACTGAAGGATTTCAAGCCCAGAAAATGAGACTTGCTTTTTCAGAAAAGTAAGTCTATCTTCAAACATGGATTAAAAGAATGGTTCACAGGAGCTATGGACTCAAGCCAAGGACTTATTTTCACTTCCCAAGCACCAAGGGCCAACCTGTTGCTGACGCCAGGGCAAGAAGGAAAGAAAGCTGACCCTGAAGACGCCAAGGTAGCTGGAATGTCAAGTTCGTTCTTCACCCAAATAAGAAGGCAATAGGGGAAAAGGAGAATGCAATTAGAAGAGCAGGTTAAATAAATGCTTCTGGAATGTCCACTGTGTAGGCAGCTGCTAGGAGCTTGGAGAAACATATCTGGGCCTAGGAAAGGCAGCTTCCAGAAGAATCGTTGGGAAGTGCCAGTTCTGAAGGATGATTTTAAGTTATCATCATTTAGTCTACACACTTAAATGGATGGTTAGTATTTGTGAAAGGCTTACTTACCTATTTTCTTTGAGATGGGGTCTTAGTATAAAATCAAGCTGTCCTAAAATAAGCAATGCTTCATATGCATGATTGTGTGTATATGCATGTTTACATATGTGTGGTTGCTCATGCAGATGATATTTCAATCATCTGTATTGATTGAATACAACATCTGTTGGCATCAGTAATCTTTTTTGCTGTCTGCTTGCTCAGTGAAGAAGGGTTCCTGCTGAACCTGGAGCTAGCCACAAGGGACAGTCTTCTCCTTCTCTCCCTCTCTTCGTGCTTTAGGATTCCTTGTCTCTGTTGCTCATTCACAGGGATTGCAGGCAGCCATGCTCACTTAGCTCTTGTTTGGTTCGGGGGCTGAACTCTGATTCATGCTTTCTTGGCAAGTGTTTTATCCACTGAACATTTAGCTGGCCTAGTACTGTTTAATATTAACACACTTGGTCTTCTTTCAGAAAACACTAGTGGATCGGTTTCCTTCTTCATGTAATTCCTTAGCCACATCTCAGTTTCTGGAACAGCACAAAAAACTATTAGCAGGAAACAAATCTCAACAATACTCATGTGGCAGGACTTTGGTTTGCAAGGGGAAGCAGGTGGCTCACTCTTTTTGTTGTCATTGCTGTTGAAACAGAGTCTTTCTACATAGCCCTGGCTGTGCTGGAATTCACTATGTGGACCAAGCCAAACTCAGATTCACAGAGCTCTTCCTACCTCTGTCTCCCAAGTGCTGAGACTAAAGGTGCACACCACCACACCACAAACTAAAGGTGCTAGTTCGTTCATCCTAAACTACTGTGAATGTCCAGGAGACAAGCAGCAGTGAAAGGACAACCTGGATACTTCCCCACCCTCACTTCCCTCTCCTCTTCCTCGCCCTCCTCTGTCTTTTCTTCTTTCCCCCACTTCTCTCTCTCTCTTACCTCTCCTTTCTCTCTCCTTCTCCTCCTTCTCCTCCATCTGTCCTCTCTTCTCTCTCCCTCTCAGACAAGCTCTGACACTATTTATATCCTTGTTTCTTCTCTTCACCATTCTCGACATGAAAGGAAAAGTCAAATTGTGAGTCACCCTCCAGCCTTCTGAGTGAAGAACCTGTAAGACAAGTTTTCAACACACCTGTGTCGGAGATACTTGCCTCTCACCCTACCACCAGGGAGCCATGGTGCTCAGAAAGGCCTTCCAATGGAAGAGACTCCCAGGACAGGGAATGGATCTGCCACTCCTGCACACTGGGCACTCTGGGCAAGAACATCGCCTCCTCTCTGTGTAGAATTAAACCCACTGGTCTAGAATGAAACGAAGCTTTTGTTTTGGTTTTTCTCTCTTTTTGCCATTACAGTTTTAACAGTATTTGCCTAGAACACATGAAGTCTGGGTTTAATTTCCAATAAAGTAAAACCAGGCAGGAGGATCAAAAGGTCACGATTATCTTCTAGGAAGTGAGATCAAGTCCCTCCTGTGATGCACGAGATCCCGAATCTAAAGGAAAAAATTACAAGTAAAATAAAAACAGAGCAGCCTGACAGGTCCTTTCTGCAGCTGGCATGGACCTGTGCACTGAATCCGTGACTTTACAATGGAGTGGGAGCAAGAGCTGCAGACCTAACAGTGTAGCTAGGGGTGTGAGTCTCCTCGGCTCCCCAGATACTTTTGTTTATCAAGCAAAAGCAAAACTTTCTTTCAGCAGTCTAATCTTCCTCCCAGTTTAATAGACTGATGGGTAGAGAAAAAGAATTACTAAAAAATGCTAAAATATGTAAAGTTTAACAATAATAACTCTGCCCTTTGCTGAAAAAAAAAAAAAGAGATTTTGTTTTGTCGTTATTACAGCTGAGTTTTAAAGGCTTTCTGACTCTATTGTCTGACCACACTGACAGAATGAAAGTCAGTGTACACCAGGGGAGGAGATGCAGTCTCCTGTGAAAGAAGGCACCGCTCGTACTCCTCTCCAGATGCCTTTTCACTGCAGTCATCTTCCCGCTAGACATGCTCAGCTGCAGAGACTGTGGGTCTCCTCCTTCTGTTAGGACTTAATCGTTCCTGAGTGCACAGCACTCATGCGGTGACTGCTCTTTGCTGGATGTGGAGCTATTTGTTTGAATTAGCTTCTTTAAGCCACAGCAGGGCATGATATTTTCCTCATATCATCTTTCCCTGCGTTTACCAGGGTCTGTGGCAGGTCGTCAGCTGGTCCAGCAAGGACACACTTATGGCCTGGAAGCAAACAATGACCTCCACCCTCTTTCTGTGCCCAGCCAAGCTCCATATCAAACAGGGTAGCCTTCACCTGTTTTCCCTCAAACCCACTCCGAGATCTCTTCAGAGTAGATGAAATCAGGGACAAATATTCGGGACAGTTCTACGGCATCATGCATTCACAACAGTATTGGATAGAACTATTTAAGGGAGTGGCTCTCAGTCTTTCCAATGCTGCCACCCTTTAAAACAATTCCTCATGTTGTGGTGACCTCCGACCATAACAATATCTTGCTGCTACTTTATAACAGTAATTTTGCTATTGTTATGAATCGCAGTGTAAATGCTGACAGGCACTTTTTAGAATGTCTGATATTTGCTGCCAAGGTGATTGTGACTCACTGCTTTAAAAAGTAAAAGATATATAAATGAGGGCTGAGGATATAGCTCAGTTGGCAGAGGCCTGGCTTGAGAGTCACAAGACCTGGGGATCTATTCCTAGAATCACATAAATCAGGTCACATGTCTGTATTCAAGGTTCTGTATTCACATCCCAGCATTCAAGGTTACCCTCAGCTATAAAGAATTTGAATTCATGTGGAATACATATATATTCTTTACATATATTTTCTCTATATATTTTTCTTTATATATAATATATATTCTATATATATTTTCTTTAAATATAGAATATATAGACTTAATGTAGAATTCAACAACATGAAACCAGATTATATATATATATATATATATATATATATATATATATATATATATATCATGTAGAATTCAATGACAGAACTGGAAGTATAAAAAAAGAGTAGGCAACAGGACATATGTTTTCTGGGTTACAAAGTTTCAGATGGGTGAGCGTAAAAGGTTTCTTCAATAGCTGACAGCGATGATTGCCCACCACCAATGGGGATGTATTTAGTGACAGGCATGGTAGAGGTGGTAAAGTTTACATATATTTAGCCACAGTAAATAATTTTTAGAAAAAAAAATCGTGCTTTTGAAAAAGTCATTATTTATTTATTTATTTTGAGGCAGGGTCTCTATGTAGCCCTGGCTGTCTTTGAACTGGCAGAGATCACCTGACTGTGCCTGCAGATTGCCGGGGTTAAGGACATGTGCTACCATGCAACGCGTTTTTTTTGTTTGTTTTGTTTTTTTTTTTTTTTTCCATTTGGGCATGTCCACAGACGTGGTATAAGAATGAGATGGAATGATATAAAATTACTCTCAGGAAATTCCTCCGGATAAGGCGATGCATCACTGGGGATGTCAACAGGGACAAAACCCCTGCACTCTCCTTCAGAGAAAGGCCAAAGAGTCCATAAGCATCACTGTACTCCTAGATTTGCTTCTTGGAGGCACAGGTCTGTTCTCAAGGGGTCAAAGAGATGGCTCAGTGGTCGAGAGCACACACTGTCCATGCAGAGGATCTGAGTTTGGTTCCCAGCTCACCATGGCCAATGACTCCAGTTCCAGGAGACTCAACGCCCTCTTCTGGCCTTGAAGGACACCTGTGTACATATGGCATGTGTAAACACAGATACACACATATGTATTTATACATGTAGTTAAAAAATAAAAATTAATCTTAAAGAAAGGCCTGTTCTTAATAACTGAAAAATAATACTTACAGAGAAACACTTCCGGAGGCATTTGCCTGGGACAAGAAAAAAGTTTTGTCGAGATTCACAGCACTGCATCTGCTACCTGTCCCTACTTCCTGGTCAGTCTTGGATAGAAACACAAAGCTCCACTCTTCAACACTCCATGAAGAAAACAAACAAAGACATTTCACTGTGCCAATATCCATGCCAGTGCCAGCCTAGATATTGGGTGTGTTCAGCCAATAACATGTGTGCAGCCAACTATGCCACATACTGCAAAAGCAGTCTCTGGAAAGGCTCCATTTCAGCGCAGAAAAGCTTCATATGGGCTTTGCACTTGCAGATTTAGAGAGCTTTCATTTTGAAGCCCACCTTTGCAAAGAATCAGGTTCATAATATAATGTGAAAATAATTATGTGCAAACAGGAGTTCAAAACTGTCAGTAAATCCATCACAAAACTGAGCCATTTCTACTGTCTTGGGTACTTGGGTTAATGTGGCATGAGAGAAGGCTAGACTAACAGGTCTGGTTAAAGCATGAATCACAGACTGAATCATGAGCAACTCAGAAAGCGCCCACAAGAAAACACTTGTAACACACTGTCCTTAGATCCTGTCAGGTGAAGGGTAGGCATAAAAGCCCCAGCTCCACAACAGTGCTCAGATGAGCTCCAGTGGGGTTGATTGTGAGGCACCCTGGCTAGGTTCCAGCATAGCCCTATCTCGTCAGGTAATATGCTCATTCAGTCTCTGCATTTTCTCTCTGAGAGCCTCTCAGAGTCAAGAAGGATCCTATAATTTCTTCCTTCTTTTTTGTCTGTTTTTCTTTCTTTCTTTCTTTCTTTCTTTCTTTCTTTCTTTCTTTCTTTCTTTCTTTCTTTCTTTTGAGACAGGGTTTCTTTGTGTAGCCTTGGCTGTCCTGGACAGGCTTGGTAGACCAGGCTGGCTTTGAACTCACTGAGATCTGCCTGCCTCTGCTTCCCCAAGTGCTAGGATTATAGGCATCCGCCACTGCTCCTGGCTTGCTCCAATTTTTTTTTATCATCTTATATAAATAACTTTACCTGGGTCCCAGAGGTGTAGACAGTCAGCATAATGTATACGACTTCTTATCTGCATCAGAGAATGATAACCCATGTCTTAGATTCAGATAAGGCTTTTGCAGAAACCTGAACAACAGCTACCCACAAGAAAAGCTGCTTATCAAAAAACTTTGATGCATTTCCCACAGAATCCATCATAAGGCCTTGAGGTTATGAGAAGGAAGACGAGATTGTTTTGTTTTATACGGTTTCAGACTGGTCCAAGTGCCCGGGTCAGCAATGTGCGGAAGTTGTAAGAAACCGTTTGTTAGGTGTTAAGGGTTTTCTGTCCATCAGTTTCTGTGAGGAATGGATGTTAAATCAAAGTACATAAAAGACAGCTCACTACAACCCCTTCATAGGTGATGCTTCCAAATGAGGCATCTATGTGTCTGAGAGACAAGCTCCCACACTTGGAAAGTAGAATAACTGCACCGAAACTGGCAAGATGGCTCAGTGGACAGATGCAATTGCCCTGGTATCCACATGGCCGAAGGAGAGAACCAGTTCCAGCAAAGCGTCCTCTGACTTCCACAGTGTCACAAGGGAATGCTTCCAGCTCCCTAAAAATAAATATAATAAAAATAAAACAAAACGAGTGTAATTTTGGTCACACACTTCTCAAATGTGCACAGAGTCATAATGAAAATATGGATGCAAGCTTTTAAAAGATGAACTTAAAACAAGCCATCAAGCAGATCGTTTACATGATTTTCCCTGCTTTAAAGTATACATGCTATTTTTAATGTTGTTGTATACTTGAAGAAAAAGTTGAACCTAAAATTTCCAGAAATTTAATTGGGAAAAAATGTAAAGCACTTGGATGGATTTTTTTTCTCATGATTTGTACAAGTTTCTTTTCTTTTCTTTTCTTTTCTTTTTTTTTTTTTAAACAGATGGTTCAAATACACAAAGTAGTGGAAATGTAGAAATTAAAAGCAGATCCTTAAGAAAAGTATCGGAGTTCTCAGAAATCCTACAGATGCGCGCAGGAAGGGCTAGAACAGTAGGCTCACTCACTGCCAGGGGTTCAAGAAGACTTACATTAGGTGACCCTCTGCTAGGCAGTAATTGGCTCTTTGCAGGAATTCATGTTTACCCCAGAGACAGGGTTTCTCTGTGTAGTACATGTTGACCTTGAACTCTTGAGCAATTATCTTGCTTCAGCCTCCTGAGAGAGGGTGTTAGCTACCACCAGAGAAGGAATTAAGGATTCCCTTAAAATGCTCATTCAGGCCAACACGTTGAAAATCTTGGGGTATGTAGGACCACACATCCAGGTGTCAACTTGAGACACTAACACTGGGGTACAAAATATGTAAAATTAATCAATTAATAAAATTAATTCCCCCTTCTTACAGACGGGGGCTTTGGACACCCAGCGCACCTCACTGCTGGAGCAATGAAGTGGGGCTGGGAAACAGGCCCCTCTTTCCAACTTGGACGTAATGGACAGGATCCTGAATTGAAACCCGAACGGGTTCAATTCACTGGGATGTAGTGAATTCCCTCAGGCTTGAGGCTACCGATTTTAGCCGGGCTTAACGTGGGAGTCTCTTCGCTCGTGCCCGAGTGGAACGCTGAGAGCCGGAGACGGTTTGGGACGCACCCGGCCGAGGGCTCGCGCCTTGCGAAGCTACGGAGCAGCGCTGGGCGCAGGGAGCAAAGTGCGCACGGCGGGGACCGGGCGGGGACCGGGCGGGGACAGCGAGGGGCGGGGAGCGCGGAGGAGGGTCGGCCCGGGAGCTGCAGGCCGGCCCGCGTGCGCTCGGCACAGGGGGCGGGTTTCCCTGCGGGCCCGAGTCGCCGCGGGGCGCCGCCGGCTAAGTGAGCGCCAAGGTCCCCACGGCCCGCCGGTGGCGCTGCCAGGAGGCTGTGCGGTGCGGAGCAGCCGGCAGCCTCGCCACCCCCACGGCCCGAGCGAGCGACGATGAGCCCGGCTGACAGCGCCCTGAGCCTCCGCCCGGCCTCGGGGCAGCTGCACTGAGCCCGGCGCGCCGGGCCCGGTCCTCCGCGCTCACCCAGCGCTCATCCCCCCTCCCCCTCGCCTAGTTCGCAGCGTCTCCGCACCCGCCGCGGCTGGCGGCCGCCGCGCCTGGGCCATGGGGCTGCCCACTCTGGAGTTCAGCGATTCGTACTTGGACAGTCCGGATTTCAGGGAGCGACTGCAGTGTCACGAGATCGAGCTGGAGAGAACCAACAAGTTCATCAAAGAGCTGCTCAAGGACGGCTCTCTGCTCATCGGGGCGCTGAGGAGTGAGTGACGGGGTCCCCGGGTGTGCAAGGCCCCGTGGGGTGCGGGACCCTGGTTTGGAAGCCCCGGACGGAGCTTCTTTTGTTTGAATGGATTGGGGACAAAAGCTGAAGGGCTCCCCTGCTGGTGGCCAACAGTGTCTGTTATAAGTGGTTCCGATTTACTTCCCAGGCAACACCAGGAAGGGAAAGTTCCCCGGACAGTCCTCCAGAGTCAACTTTGGAGGCTTGCTGCTGGAAAGATGTTGGGGGCTTTTACTTTTTGTTTCTCCGAAGTTTCGGTGTCTGGTTGTCGTTGTTGATTTTCTTTTTCTTAATTCTTTTTGTTTGCTTGCTTGTTTTGATTTTCTTTTAAAAGTCCTGGAGAGAGCCAGGCGGGTATGGTTGGCACACGCCTGTAATCCCCGCACTTGGGAGGCGGAGGCAGGAGGAATGCCCGGAGCTTGAGGCAAACCTGAATAACAAATGAAATATGCCATGTCAGCCAGGGCAACAGAGCGAGACTGTTTTAAAGGAAAAAAAAAAAAAAAAAATCAAACCAACCTAGCAAAGAAACAAAACAAAACGACGACAACAACAAAACAGAAAAACAAGCAGGCAAAACTCCTGCGGAGGAGTGGACGCAAGAGCCTGGCTTTCGGAGTTAAAGTGAAGCTAGCGAATTTGCTAGTATTTTGTACAACCGTGACTTGTCATTGATTTAACCTTTTAAAAATGCACGTTGCAGTTTGGCCATCGGTAAGCTGTTTGGACACAGTGGTGGCGCGCCTGCGGAGCTTTCTGCGCATATTAAATTTGGGCAGCATCGTGTGTGGGGTTGGTCATAGCCGCGAGAGCTCGGGTCTAAGTTCAGAGTCCTGGTAGGTGTCAGTCTCTGGACCTTGCCTCACTCCTCCTGACAGGATAGTTTTTCCTCCTTTCTCCTCCAGAACTTCCGCGTTGAGTATTACACCGTAAGGGAGCTTCCCAACTCTCTCATACCGAGACCCCAGTGAATCACTACAGCTAAAGCTTAACCACTGCTTTCCCCAGATCCCACTTATGTCTTAAATGGAAGCTGGGGTAGGCTTCAGCTTCTGAAGTCCGGCTAGGGCTCGCTCGGGAGCTGGAGGGGCCTCTGAGTGACAAGCCGAGGGGTGCTGTAATGGCACAGGTGCAGCGCCCACTGTCAGTTAATCGGCGTTCGGGACTGCTGCGATAATGGTTATTGACTGGAGTTCGTGAAAACATGGCTTCTTTGTGGTTCTTTGAGCCATTGTCTACACAAATGTGAACTGGCTTGAAATCCTGGCTGAGGTCTCAGAACAGATCTCTGAGCTCGAGGGAGCATCCTACCGCCTCACAGAGGCCTTCCTTTCCCCAGAGTGCAGTGCCCCGCCCAGGCCCGCTTCAGACGTGAGGTTGGAAACATTTCCTGACTTGTATATTATCTCACTGGTGATGGTACACACTTTCTTGGGATTCTTCCGTTGAGCTTTATAAAGATCATCTGTTTCTCATCCCTCCCCAGGGGCTGCTCTGTCACACACACCCCAGGAAGGGTTGAGGGCGTCAAGTCCAGAAATGCCCAACCTTTTGGACTTGCCGTCTGAGTATACACTACCCTGCATTCACAGCTACCCAGGATGAATGCAGGCTGTGGACTGGCCCTCGCCTGGACGCACTGAGACCCTGCCTGGTCAAGTCGGCCTTGTGCCCTTGAACATAGAAACCTGTTGTCTTTCCAGAATACTCTGTGATGACAGTGTATTTCTGTAACTAACACAGTTATTACTCTTTTCATTGTGGAATGCTGTATTTCTTATTTAATAATTCTCAGGACTGGTCAGATGGTTCGGTGGGTAACAGTCCTTGCTGTGGAAACCTGACCACCTGAACTAACGCTCTGGAGCCGGTGGGTGGGAGAAGGAGAGAAGTACCTCCCAGGTCACTTCAGTTAATCACAGGCATGCCAACACACACACACACACACACACACACACACACACCTACACACCAGCATCAGCTGTCAAAGGGGGATCCTTGATGTCACAGGAGAGTGCTACTTTTTGCTCACCAACGCTTTCTTCCCCTTGGAGTACACCCCAGGCAGGCTACAGCTGCTGGAAGCCTGCTCTCTGGAGCTGCTGGGTTAAGACTACCCTGCTTGGTAGTTGGCTTGGTGCTTGCCCAGGCCCACTGAGGGAGCCCTGCTCCTCCCGCCTGGCCCGCCTGGCCCGCCTGGCTCGCCTGGCTTTTTTTTTTTTTTTTTTTCCTACTTATCTGAGGAGTTTAATAGTTGTGTCCATGATCCGTTTTAGGATTGTAACTAAATGTGTTGTTTCACTAGCAATGATTTTCTAATATAACCTTGTTTGACTAATGATACCATGTCTGGTTTCTATTCTTAACAATGTGTTAAATGTATCTTGCATGCATTCTTGTGCTGTTTGTTTGAGGCAGAGCCTTATGTGGCCCAGGCTGGCCTTGAGCTCTCTGTCTTCCTGTCTACCTCAAGAGTCCTGGGGTTATTGGCACATGGCAGTACACTCATTGTGCGGGCCTGCCTCAGTAAAATGGCACATGTCTCTTGACCCACATTTCTTTAGTTGGTTGTGTGGAAGATTGCTCATAAAGTGGACCAGCTAGTTTTATCATATGGGATTTTCGGTGTTGTTGATGTTGCCTTGTATTTATCTCAGACTGGCCTTGAACTTTAAATCCAGCTGCTTCAGCTTCCTAAGTTCTGGGATGACCGAATTATACTACCATACTGAGTTGAAACAGATTTGATTTTTTTTTTTTATTATTATGTGTAAGAGTGTTGGCCTGCATGTATATGTGTGTGCCATAGGAATTTGCCAGAAGAAGGTGTCAGGTCCTCTGGGACTGAAATTATAGACAGTTGTGAGCCACCATTTGGCTGCTGGGA